ATTTGCAATTTCTGTGGGAGGACTGAGCAGGAAATGCACAAATTCTGATGCAAACTGTTCCAAGTATTTGGGTTTGAAAGCAGGCAGCAAATCTGATAGTTCTGCTTTAAGAWGTGGGTGGAAAGCTTCTCTGAATGAGATGTGTGGGGTGTGCTGGGTCTGTGAGGCTGATGAACCTTAACCTGCAGTCATGCCAACACAAATCGTTCCGATTTCCTGTTAGGCAGCAAGGAATTTTTTTAGGTAATGCCATTCAGTGATTAAGAAGGTTGGGATACGTGGGTAGTATGGAGAAGAAATATCCTATTACCATGTGACTGATTTTTGCTCCTTTTGGTTGGGATTTTTTTATTACTTTGGGGATTTTATTTTGTTTCTGTTAGTTTTTTCCTGGATTTTTTTTTTTTTTCCATTTGGTACGAGAATGTAACAGTGACAATGAAATTCTTGTTAGATTTCTTTCTTGCAGGCAGAATCATTCTTCTGGCTTCTCCCAGCCTGGCTGGTTGGTTTAAAACCCAGTGTGCACACTTAAGAAGGAGCTGCAGGTATCACTGAAGGTCTGTAGGCTTACAGAAGGTRAGAGTTGGTGATTCTAGCMTTYTGATGTCTAATTTTTACTCTGGTTGCCTTATAAAGGCAAAGTATTTTCTGTGTGAAGATAAGAAAGGCTTTTTCAGTATTTCCTGAAGAAAGTGCTGTTTCTCCTGATCACTTCAAAAGATGTCACACYCCGTATGTACAGAATTGAAATCCAGAAGCAGACTCAAAATCATTAAAAAAATCAAATGTGTAGCTTGGGATTTCAGGTGCTTGTGCCACCAAATTAATCTCCAGTGAGCTGATAATTTTCCAACCCATGAGTTATGCCATTTGCTGCCCAATTTTTGCTGGGAAGTGTAAAAGGGAGAAACAACTGTTCTGTACTCATGTAAGTTTGATCCGTTTTTGTTCTGTGATTTATATCTCAGGCTCTGAAGCATGGAAAGTCTCTGTGCAGCAAATGCCACTTTTGCACTGGACCTCTTGAGAAAGYTGTGTGAGAAGAAAAGTGGGCAGAATGTGTTCTTTTCCCCATTGAGCCTTTCTTCTGCTTTGTCCATGGTTTTGTTGGGTTCAAGAGGTAGCACTGAAGCTGAAATAACAAARGTAGGTCAAAATAAACGTAGTGGATGGCTTTTGCTAGGAACATATTATCAAGAGCTGTGTCTTGCAGCCTGTGACATGTATTTGTACTAAACTGTGAATTTTGACAGTGGTCTGAGAGAGCAGAGCTCTTCCTCTGGTGTGTGTGTAAGCAGAACCTGTTTYCATTGCTTTTTTGTTCAATATGAAATGAAGAGGTTGCTGGGTKTTTTTGTGCAGTAGTTTTTTGTTGGTTTTGTTTTGAGACCATTCTTCTTTAATATGTAATTAGGTGGTACCTGGAGTTTTTTTTATTGGTTTGATCAAAAAGTGGCTATATACAGTATTTTCTGCTGCTTCCTTGTAAGGGCTTAATATAACATGATACATGTTCTAAAAATGAAGCTAGACATTTAAAAAAAATAAATTGAAAATCCACACTTTCTACACTTCAAACTGGTAAGTGCAAATTGATTGGCTGCTTTTTAAAAAATTTCTCAGATAGCAAATACCATTTGGCATGTGTTTTTTGCAGGAAATGACCATATTAGTTGCACAAACAGTTATTTTGGTTCTGATGTTTGCTTCCTATGCAATGTAGGAAAGGAGTATAAACCCATATTTTGTTTCCATTTACATTTATAAAAGCTTTCCAGCATTGTATTGTTGC